AGAGTTAATTTTGAAAGTTGAATACTTGATACATTCAAGCAAGCTTGTGATATGCAAGTCAGGATATCAGTTATTGGCATTTGATAGTACAGGGTCCCCTAGATAGTACGGATTCTTTTGGTTGTAGAAAGCAAATTAGTGAAGATAATGTTATGATCCGCAAAAGCCAAAAAAACCCCGATTTGTTCCTGCTCTACCGGTAGCATCCGCCAATTACACAAATTGCTTGCTAAAGAAAATTCTGTTGCCATGCAACGAACTCGGCGAAACACAAACACAGTCTGGACACAATCGACTCTGGACCACACAATCCTTTGGCACCATATCATGTTTATCGATATTGTTATCGATAAGTTGACTTTGAATTCAATAATCAAATGCAAGGATTCTGAAGTGGAAAAAGTAACCAAGTGTGGTTGTTTTACACCACATCAGAGAGCAGTTATAACGTTTTGTGCCAAACTGATGTTGTACTTGGAAAAATTGATATTATGCTTTTCATGGAACTAGACTTCATTTCACTTGCAGAAACTTCGACCCAGTTAATATTTATATAACGTCAACGCAAGAGACAATCCAGCTTCAATTAACGTCAAAAGTTTCCATCGGGGAGAAGTCTAGTCTTTTTTAGCTCTGGTCGTTTGATCCCCGCTTTTGGGTGTATAAAGGTTTCAGCAATCATATGCTTCAAAATAAAACATTTCTGAATGCATTTCCTTCATATTGCGACTTTTATCATACACGTTCGATGATCAGAGAGCAGGCAAAGACATGCATATGGTACACGCAGAAATATATACTTACAGAAGAAAGGATTCGAATTCAGACGGCTGTTCTTCCTCTATCTCTGGTGATCGAGCTTGTGCACTTGATGGTATTGAAGCCAAGCTGACGTTTTGACCAGTATATTTTGAAGCGGTATCTGGTTTGCCACTTAAAGTTTCTATTTCTTTCACTTCCAAAGTACAGACCGGGGCATTTGGTTTAACGCTTTCCATAAACTTTTGAAACATTTGTCTCACTGTGTCTTGTTCTTTGATCATTTTGTTTCTGCCTTCTTCTGTTTCATGTAGAAATTCTATGACGAGACATTTCTTGTAAACTTTGTACAGCTGACAGCCATAACGTTCCATCAACTTTCCAGTTAGGTCGAAGAAAGCATCACCGGTTTCTCCATTGATAATGGCTGCCATGAAACCGTCGAAAATATTTCCAAAGGTCCATATTGACCCGAAAGGTTTTTCAATGTCGACATTTCGACGGTAGAACCAGTCACGAACTTTGGCGTTGGAACAATCAACTGTTGAAAAAAACAACAACAACACATGAGACCTCAATTTGCTATTATTCTCTATTTCATTACATCAATAATTGGTACTATTTCTAGAAATGCCTTATCTATGTGTTTTCTACAGTCACTGTAAGGATTCCACATTCATTAGAAAGACACCAGGTGACAAACGAATTTTGACTCTGGTGCAGTCCCGTATATGTTTTAAACTCGCTATTATTCTGTATAGCATGTGTGATAAAACACCAATAATAATTTCCTATGGGGTGAATTTTATGTTTTGGCTTTTCAATTGTTATGAAATAGGCATTGAAAAGGCTTAAATGTTTCATTACTGCCAAAATAAGGGAATATTCGACTTGTGAAGCTACACATGGAGATACCTTATACAAAAAGAAGAGTTTTGGGATCACAACATATTTATCAAACCTTTAACTGTGATAGAAAGTTGCCCGAGGTTTATGAAGCACACAATCCCATCTACAATTATTATCCTAGAGATATTTGACTTGATATGAATACAACTCACCGTAAATCAATGTTCCTCCATCTTGTGCGGGAACTGAAACATGTTGTTGCAACTTGAAATAGTTCATTGAAATAACTATCAAAACAAAACACATTTTTGCAGGAATAGCGACACAATGTTTAATCTTTATCGGGGCAACTCTAAACTGTCTAAATTTATAATGTGACAATTTACCTGATATCTTAAGTTTTGGATTCGCACCCTCAGTGATGATACAGGACAGTCCTTCCTGTTGTTTCTCTGCAACAATGATTTAAGCTCGTTCAGATAAACAAAAACCTTTCTCAATCATCTCAATCTGAGTAGAGTATAACCAACACGACAGGCAGCTAGGTCTAACTTTTGATATTTACGTAAGATTTCATTATTTGACTGTGGGTTGATGCAGTCAGCATACACACATATATTAAACATATCAGGATAACAGATAATCTGTGGGTGGATGATAATACATTTTCTTGATACTGGACAAGAGTATCGAGAGGCAGGAAAGAGACCGACCTTCATGTAACCCAGCTACATTAAATCCCAAAACAGAAACTAAAAAATGTCTTTAGAATATTTCTCAAACTGCACATTCGTGCTGTCATACCCCAAGTCGAATTTTAAATGAATTCGTTGAAAACTTTATGAATGACCCCGTAAACCCTCAGACTAAAATATTCCCAGAGATGTGAAATATATGTCCAATGTTAAAGATTAAAGTTGATTAGTTACATACAGATATAATAAATATTATTGTCTTGAAACTCGTAGCGATTTATAATTACATTTCCTAAAACTGCAAAATTCTGTTCTTAGTACTTTCAATATGACTATATATATTTTTCATGATTTTTTAAACAATAACATAATTACGATTTAAGTAGTCTGGATTATTTTTATCAAAGCACCGCAATCATTACCCGCGTTCTGATTGGTTTGTCGTACTTTCGCACATACCGAGACGGGGGCGAGTCTTCTTGGAGGTTACGGAAAGGAGCGAGTGGTGACGAATGATAATCTAGATATGAAAGGGGAACTCGTCTTGCATCCTATAAATATACATGTAGGTATATATAGAACAAAACAGTTTCATATACTACAATAAACATACACACCGCCCTGATTAATTGTGCAGCCTTCTGCTTTTCCAATTACGATGCTGTCTGTAACTGTGCTGTTCTCCGATCCTTTCACAGTGGTGGTATTGCACGAGGTATCTGGAACCAATTACAACTTTTCACTAACCAGTCAAGGTTTCTTGTTTCACAGATCCGTTACCCGATCTCACTCACCCCAAGACACCCTCAAGAATTTATTCTTTGATGAAATATTTCAAAACGTGACAACCCATCCAAAGTCCCTGCTAACAATCAGTTGAATTTGTCTGGATTGCATGACCTAATTTAGAAAAAAAATTAATTTGATGTATAAAACAAATGGATTAGGCATGTGTATTTCGTTTCGTAACTAAGATGAATTCAGTTTTACATTCGTGAAAATCCTGTCAACATCAACATTCATTAGTCAGAAAATGTTACTGAAGAATTTGTATTGACTGATCTTGACTGATCACGCTATTGACTGACAACGTGCTTGTGTTTTAATGAATGGGAATATCAGCTTACCGAATACTGATTATAGATAACATAATTACTATATTTATAAATTAGAACAAGAAAACCAAACAATCTACAAAAAACAATTTTTTTGACACAGTTCACTATTTGCTACGAGGGAGGAGTGCAGATTTAGAGACACCCAGGTGAGAAACCGTGCACAAGTGCCGACAACGTTATTGATTCATTAACCTGTGCTGTGCCATCTCCATCCATTTTTTATCGGATACCTGGCTGTCCCTTTCTTTACACACCTCCCTCGTAACAAATAGTGAACTGTGTCAATATTTTAATGATAGTTTGTTAAACATCTTTTTTAGTTTTAGGACATAAATTCTGCAAATAAATCACAGAGTTGGTCTGATGTTTTGATTATGATCACCGTTTCATTGAACATTATATATGTTTATTAGTTTTCGAGTTAGATTGCAATTCATCATAAGCACACCGAAACGTCGCTCATATCAATAATAAAGAAGCTGTATATTCGTACTCTCCCCGTTGTTAATGATACAATAGTCAACGTAGTAGAGTTAGATAATCCTATGTTGGTAAAAGAAAAGCATGAATGAATGTAAGATTGGATGTAATATGAATGAATGAATGTGTAAGATTTTGGGTTCATTGACGTACGAATGGAAATTCAAAAACCGATGTGAACACTGTATGAACCCCTGGATGGGTTGTTTGATTTTTGGGACATTTTACGTGCGTTTTCCGACATAATGCGCACTTTGCACACTGACAAAAAAACTCGATTCGAATTCGGACATCGCAGCAGCGAAAGTAGTCCCATGCTAACTTTTGAGTTCCTGAATTGGGAAATGAATGCAATAGCACTTCACATATCAACCAACCAACCAACCAACCAACCAGCCAGCCAGCTAGCCAGCCAGCCAGCCAGCCAGCCAGCCAGCCAGCCAGCCAACCAACCAACCAACCAAACAACCAACCAACCAGCCAGCCAGCCAACCTGCCAACCAACCAATAAATCAATAAATCAATCAAATGAGAAACCTTAGTGGAGGATGACAAATGCTGGGCATTATATGCATGCATGTTTATGTATGTATATATACATATATATGTTTGTATATGAATATGCATACACTTGTCTGTGTGCATCACAATACAAAATTTCTGCAATACACTTGATTGTAATGATAATATGGCATTTGATTGATGAAGTAACTTTTCGGTACCGCCCCAAGTGATTAGGCCATGCCTCTAGCGGACAACTATTTTCTGAATGTCTGATATCCAAGTGGATTGGGCGTGTTTCATTGTGATGAGCGATGTCGATTGAGTTATTGGTGCTAATGTTTGAATAACCAGTCTGTGAAAGTTATTGATGACATATTTATTTTCAGAATCAATATTACCTTGCCGTCAGGAGAGAACAAACGGTTTTGTGTGAATGAAACCTCGGATTGACACATTGTCCATATCGGTCTTTACCTCCATAAATTAAGCAAACCAATATTGGGGCTACGTTTTACATGAAGTGAAATCTTCATTCCTGTTCATTCGTTTTCAAGTATTCTAGTGCTTAATATATCCTGTCACTTTCTTTACTTACTCTTTCCCACTTTCGATGTTGCGGTGTCAGGGCTTCGATCATCTGTCGTCTCTGTGTCACTTCCAGATGACTGGGGCGTGTCCATGGAGACCGCGCCATCCTTATTGCCTGGCAAACTGCCCATCCTTGTCGCCAGATATACGTCGGAGTGTCTGACATTAAAAATTGTGAGTGAGTTTAGTTTTATCCCGCTTTTAGCAATATCCCCGCAATCTCACGTCGGGGGACACCAGAAATGGCCTTCACACATTGTGCCCATGTGGGGAATCGAACCGGGGTCTTCGGCGTGACGAGCGAAAACCTTAACCACTAGACTACCCTCGCCCCATAAAAATTGTGAGTGAATGAGGGACTGACTGAGTTTGGTTTCACGCCGCTTTTAGCAATATTCCAGCAACATCACGGCGGGGGCCACCAGAAATGGCCTTCACACATTGTACCCATATGGGGATTCGAACCCGGGTCTTCGGCGTGACAAGCGAACACCTTAACCACTAGACTACCCCCGCCCCTGAAAAATTGTGAACGAATGAGGGACTGACTGAGTTTGGTTTTACGCCGCTTTTAGCAATATTCCAACAACATCACGGCGGGGGCCACCAGAAATGGGCTTCACACATTGTACCCATGAGCCAACGCTTTAACCACTAGGCTACCTCATCGCCCTGTGAGTGAATGAGGGAGTGAGTATGGTTTTCGCAATATTCCAGCAATATCACAACTGGGGCACAAGCAAATGGGCTTCAAACGTTGCAGCCATGAGGGGAATCAAACCCGGTCCTTGAGGGAATAATTTTTAACCCCAAAACTTTTCCATCGCCTAACACAGGGAAATTATAAGCTCCCGGTCGTGGTGTATTTGAAATATATATTCAACACAAACAAAATCCATATTCAAAATGATTGACATTAACAATGATAAAAAAATATCATAAAACACATGTATACATTGAATACGATCATGATTTTGTTATGCGATATTTTAACATTATCTCAAGAGTGGTGCTGTTATTGCATCTGTAGTTGCGAGCCCAGTATAAAGTTCTGTATGTACCCAACTATCCTCATCCCTAATCGTTTTGATCATCCGAACAGTCCTTCATGCCGAGCATCAGCATTCAGGGCAACATCAAGTCCCACGCTGAATGTTACATATGTTGCTGTTGTTTTCAATAAGTGTACTACTATATTTACCACCCATAACACTAAATACAAATATATTTTAATTGGTCATAATGCACTTCACAGATACTCACCGCACATGGTGTGCTAATAACACAAACAGTTTACAATGGAACATGTAGATACAGCTGGTGTAAAGTCTTTAAGAATCGCAAGCACAGGCAAGCTGATGACAATGTGATAAAGGCAGGTAGTCGAAATCCATAGACTCCAAATTACCGTGGACACCGGTTAGGGGAATCCCCTATTTTCAGTTTCCATTGCGTGATATCCTGTGTTGCCTGACAAGACGTTATTCGAGACAAAAAAAAAACCCAAAGCACGCCGATTTTCACATTTTGAGCAAATAGTTACCATGCATCTGAACAAACGTTATCTAAAAATACATATGACTCATATCAAGGTGCGAATGTGTTCATTACAATAAACATGTAAGTTAAGGTGAGACGTGTACCAGGAAGTAAAATCAATGATATGTCAGTGTGTTGTGTTTGTTAAAATATTTGATCACCAAGTTTGTGATCTGACATAAAGTCACAACCTATCATCAAATCATATCATACTATTTCTTATTGTTGTTTTATTTAAATTAGATCTGTATTAAAAATCACGTTGCAATTATCAGCTTGATCTGTATTTGTGAAATCGTTATGTATCTACAACATACCATGCATGATATATACGACAATCTGCGAAGACTACCGCTAAATTTACCGTTAAATACCGCGGTTGCTCTGATCTTGTCTCAGCCTTCCTTCGATATGATCCAGGTGTTGTCTGATTACAGTCGTAGACGATGTATAGTGAGTGTGGAAGTGTTGCCAACTCAGCCTTCCGTGTCCCAACGCGTCTAAGCGGTCACGTGATACAACCGGTGTTGTACAGAAAATGTCCCACATCAACAGTAAGGGCAGCATTTATATTTTGTGTTTCTCATCGCCCGACCGACCCTTGTAATTTTATTGCCGACCTCGCCCCCACCCTAATTGTAATATGAATTGCAATAAATAAGAATCAAGAACTCATTCAGATAATTGTGTCTTTATTAAGGTGTTTTGTTTAAGGTGTTTTTTTCCCGACCGACCGACCAATGTTCAGACTTTGGTGGCTACGTGAAAGACATAAAACCGATGCCCTAACCAGGCGTACGGGCTAGAGGGAAACCCCAAGCTCATGTTTAAATTTGAATACGTAAATTCTACGTAACGTTTTATCCCTGTCAATGTTTTCACCCATCCACCCTTGTGTAAATTTAATCGACTGATGTGTAATGCTACCCCTCTTGTGTTAAGACATCTTGCCATGTTTATCTTTTAATGCTAACAATCGTCGTCGCTACAGCTTGAAGGCTGCCAATGTATAACGCTGTATCATGGGCCGATGGCCTACATTCACATGAATAAAGACTTGACTTGAAATTTGAATATGCACCGTCATGGATTTAATCCAATCTGTATAGTTTACTGTGCATCTGTGTTAAATAAGATGCTTGTATAAATAGGCATTGTATATCAACGTGTAACCTCGCTCGGTTTGTTTTATTAAATGTGTCATCTTGTAGTTGGAGATAGTAAAATTATTTTTTTGCATGTATTTTTTTTAAATAGTCCACATTTTACAGTCAGTGAGTCCAAAGTATTACTGTTTTCAAGGTCAGACTGGACTATAAACGATTCAAGCAAAAACATAATCGAAAAAAGGTGACAAGGTATCTTTCAGAATATAATATTCGCTGTGATTTTACTGGCGTTTTATTGAGTTAAATGGGTGGGTGATTGGTCTTTAAAGTTTGCTTGGTAGAAGTAAATGAGTATGATTTTACGCAGCAATATTCCAGCAATTTCGTGGATGGGGACAGTAGGGATGGGTTTCACACATTGTACCCATGTGATGAATCGAACCCGGGTGTTCAGCGTAACGAGCGATCGCTTTAACCATTAGGCTACCCCACCGCCCGTCTGCATGGGAGGAAATATACGTGGTGTATTCAGTATACATTGTCGCATCGGAGACGGGCGACAAATATTGACTATAATTTCGAAATTGAACATTGTCCACTTCTAATTGATCACTCATCCATATATCCTTATTTGTTTTCCCCCAAGAATCAATTTCATGATTAATTGATAACTCATCGATCTTCCAGATCAATGGGGATTGGTTCCAAAAACACATCTTCCTTAACGTATGGTTTGATGGATGCCTTGTCTCAGGCTTGTACATAGGCATTCGTGACAAACTCCTGTTATTCCGGGACAAAGCGATCTTCTTGCAGTTACGGAAAGGGGCGAGTGGTGACGAATGAGACATGATCGCGAAGCGTAGTTCCTGTGTGTTAATGTCTCAGATAGAACTTTGTACATAGAGATTTTATTATTTTTATACTAATATATATAATAATATGTAATAATAATATATATATTTATCAGCAGGATCGTTAAAATATAGATCATGTGTCCCTCAAGCTCTTTGCAAACCCAAGCCATGACGTGCTTAACTGATTGGCCAAACTAACCCTCAAAGTTAAACTCTTTGTTAAACAGCTTGCACTCAGTCTGCACAAAGTCACTACACAGACAAGTTGACAGCCCAGGTTAGTTCCATATGTCTCTATATATTTATATTATTGCATGTATATGTTGTAGTACATCCAACCCGTGAAGGTCCGGGTTAGAATATTGATCTTCAGTAACCTATGCTTGTCGTAAGAGGCGACTAACGGGATCGGGTGGTCAGGCTCGCTGGCTTGGTTGACACATGTCATCGGTTCCCAAGTGCGCAGATCGATGCTCATGCTGTTGATCACTGGATTGTCTGGTCCAGACTCGATTATTTACAGACCGCCGCCATATAGCTAGAATATTGCTGAGTGCGGCGTAAAACTCAACTCACTCACTCACTGTAGTAGATTCAACCTGGGTAAGAGTTCCGCCCGTAATCCCCGCTCTAAATGTACTCTATTTATTAGGATTATTTCGAGGGATTATGGTTTAGGCTTTAGGGTTAGGTTTAGGGGTAAGAGTTCCTCCCGTTCCCCCATCAAAAAAATATTTATAAATTACTAAATATCAAATTATTAACAAAACCTAACACAACAATTACTAGAGAACTCACAAAAATAACTAAAACTACAAAAATTAATTACAACATATAGGGTCGAACCACGTTGCGTTACATCTGTTAATCTGCGGAAGAAAGAAGTCGGGGAACGGAAGGAACTCTTTCTCCGAGTCTTCGGCGTGACGAGCCGAACGCTTTAACCACTAGGCTACCCCACCGCCCCCCTTGAAAATTACATTTGTAGTGTTTAAGCCAGGTAACTCTTTTAGGACGCCAGGACGTTTGTAGATTTGTTGGTGTTGAGACTATAACCCCTCATACACCCCCCCCCCCATTGACCACCGATCCAACCTACACGCCACACGCGTGTATACACTGATATCACACCCACCCCACCCTTTCACGACACCCCCCCTCTGATATCATACACCCCCACCCCACCATCCTTCAAAGACACATCCCTCTGATATCATACACCCTTCATCCCACCCTTTCAATACACCCTCTCTGATATCATACACCCTTCATCCCACCCCCTTCACGACACACCCTTCTGATATCATACACCCTTCATCCCACCCCTTCGGCTCTGATGGTACCCTCTGATATCATACACCCTTACATCCCACCCTCACGACAGCTCGGCTCTGATGATGGTACCCCTCTGATATCATACACCCCACATCCCACCCCTCACGACACTCGGCTCTGATGGTACCCCTCTGATATCATACACCCTACATCCCACCCCTCACGACATACCCTTTGATTTCATACACCCTACATCCCACCCCCTCACGACACTCGGCTCTGATGGTACCCCTCTGATATCATACACCCTACATCCCACCCCCTCACGGCACTCGGCTCTGATGGTGCCCCGCTGATATCATACACCCTACACCCCACCCCGTCACGGCACTCGGCTCTGATGGTACCCCTCTGATATCATACACCCTTCACCCCAACCCCTCACGGCACTCGCCTCTGTATAATGATATCTTTGCACACGCACACTCACACGCACACTGATATCAATACCCTCCGACCACCCTCTCTGCGCACGTCTATATACACTATTGTCACTTAATACAGTAATAATTTCCCCGTATATTCATTTCTTTCCTCCCCGGATATTGGCGAAATCGTTGGTTCCATATCTGGACCCGGCAAGATAACCAATATCTTCCCTGCTCCGAGCGGGGAAGATAACCTATATCTGACCACTCAATTTTGTGTGCGACGTCATGGAACGTAACACAATAAAACGACGTCATGAAAATGACGTCAGATTTAGTTGCGGCAACCTTGGATGAAAATGACAGGTGAACGGACTCTAGCGTCGCTTTCCAATAGATTGATGAAACTAGATGAATTAGTGGAGCGGGAGGACATTCCATCGGATGAATGTATTGACACACGGAAGTATGTTGAGAGGATGAAACCGGAAACACGATACAGACGTATCCGACGCCCGGTAATCGACAGCAACATCGACGAGGAATGAACGTGTGCAGGTGACATTCTACAGTTGTTGTATTAATGTTGAATACAATTTGGTAGAGGCGATTCTTGAGTGTTTGAGTGAAATATGTAGTGTATAAAAGTGTTTTTTTTTTTAAATGATAGATTCTTGCTTGGTTAGTATTAAGTGATAAAGATATTATCACCCTCCCTTTTCCATATCTTGCCCCTAATGGCCTCTGTCAGATATCGGCGTCTCGGGATGATATCGGGCAAGATATGGAAAAGGCAGGGTGATAATCTGTACAGATCATACATGTCCACAGCACCCTTTTGTTCTATTATTATGTTTTACAGATTAAGATGAAAAATGCAGCAGCGAGGGTTCGGTTTATCCTGGCACAGTCAGGCTGATAATGTTCATCATCGGCTCAGGGCCCTTGCCCCCTCTACACGCAACCCAGACAGCGATTGGGACTTCTCCCAGGAAACACTGCCGAGTCGAACACACCAAGAACTTTCCGGAGAATATGTAGACCCCCCAACACTGCAGCCTTCTGCATTACCCAGAGTGTCAATAGGGTTGACACCGGCCGGTGGAGAACCAGGGCACTCTCCTGATCTGCGCCAAGAGATCAGGAGGTACCAAACCAAGGGCACTGAAAACAATGGGGAGCCTGACGACAGTGTACTTGGGATGCAAGCGAGACATTTCAAAGCTGAGGTCCGCATACTTATCATCCTTTTACTGAATCTTCCGAATCACGTTTCTGTCAAAAGAGGGGCAGAAAATTCAATGATATAAATATATATTCATTGGCTTTATCAAAGAGGACAAGATCAGGTTTGTTGGCTGCAATTCTCCTGAGGCTGTATATGGGCCTATTCCAAAGAAGTTTAAAAGCATCATTTTCCAAGACGCCCTGGACATGTTCAGGGTCGTACCATGGATGGACCTCAGAAATAACGAGCCATTCCATTTTGTCGTTTAAGGTATGCTGTTTGTGCCAATGAAGGGCATCCACTGTTGGACAGTCTCTGTAAATTCCTTACACAGTCGGCATTTCATATTGATATTTTCCTTAAGATTCACATTTTGGCGATTACGAGTGGGAAGTGGTTGGTCCTGACCAGCAAAAAGGAAGCCCTCAGTTTCACATTTAAGACCAGCTGACTTCATCCAGGCGAAGGAGTCGTTGGGATTGCTATTCTGGTCCACACACTGCATGTACACACGATGCAATGGCTTCTCAGAAAGCTTCTCCACAAAAAGACGACTCTGAGCAGACTTGGTGAAGGACTTCACCTGGTTTACTCCCATCGCTGT